GCCTTTCCGAACAATCGTTTTCCAAACTCCTCATACTCTGACACTAAAAAACACTAAAATTTAGCGAGGCGTGCTATGTGCTCGGACGCACCTGGTAGTGCCTAAGACTACTTGCAGGACTGAGCAGGGGCAGAACTTGCCTTGCCTTGAACCCAGGGAGGCAGATCGGTTTCAGGTGAGCCAAGATCGACGCCCATTGCACTCCAGCATCTGAGCGGCGACAGGAGTGAAATCTGCGACTAAAAAAAAAAAAAAAGAAAGAAAGAATAAGAGAGCAATTACAAAATTAATTTTATCTCCGCGCTGGATATTTACTGTCAATGATGAACTTAAAGGCGATGATCGAGTAATATGATAATAAAACTTATGTACTAAAACATTAGCAAAGGAACCTAAAACTAACGTTTAATTTTTTGCTTTCTAAATATAACTAATCTTATCTTGAAAGTTAAAATTAAAATGTTAAAAAGTAGCAGACATCCAAAAAGCCATCTGAAGAATTACGAGGGCGAATTCTTTTTTTTTTTTCTTACTTCAGTAAATATACTTGGAGTTGGGGTGAATCTTTCTAAGCGCGAGATAGAAAGCAGATTTAATAAATATCGACTAAAAAACTGGGGTAAGTCTCTGTTTGGGGAAAATACTGTTAAATGCAGCTGGGGGGGACTGTCTTTTTTTTGCCTGATATGATTATAATATATATTTCTGCTATGTATTTTCATATTATATAATTGTGTGATATGTTTGGTGTATGAAATTATAAATGATCTAATATATATGTTATTAAATGTCTCTAAAAGTATACGTAGGCAGGTATTGGTAGATGAAATGTGATATCGCAATCGTAGCTATGAGGTCTCCAAAAGTAATATATATGCGGCGTGTTGACTGTACCTCTCTGAGTCATCTTGCCAGCTACTTTCGCCCTTCCTTCACTTGCGCTCTCCTACGCTACAGTGGCCTCTTTGCGGGTTCCTTGAATGTGTAACGTGATCTTTCACCAGAGCCCTGTCCACTTTAACACATCGTTTTGCCCTGAGACAGTGCCCCAGACAAGCACCCAAGCCTTACTCCCTCACCTTCAAGCTCGCGGCCTCCCTGATCACCCAATTTAAATTGCAAACTCGTTGGGCGGCGGAAGGTGGCTCACGGCCGTGAATCCCGACGCACTGCTTCGAGGGCGAGGCAGGTGGATCACCTGGATGTCAGGAGGTTCGAGACCAGCCTGATCCAATACTGGAAAACCAGACCGTCTCTACTTGAAACAAATACAAAATCTTAGCAAGGGCGTGGCGTGGCACTATGGCCTGTTAATTCGCTTCAGCTTACTCAGGAGGCTGTGTGGGCCGCTTGGCCAGCCGAGAAATTGCCTTGCACACCCGGTGAGGGTGAGGTTTCTGCGAGCCTGAGATTGCAAGCCATTGCACTCCAGCCTGGCCGAGCAGGGAGCGAGTACTCCATCTCAAAAAACAATAATATAACACATAAAATAAATAAATATACAAATTTTAAAAATTAAAAAATAAATAAATAAATGGCAACTCTTTACCTACCACTATCATTCAGACACACAACATCCTCCTCTCAGGCTTTACTTTTCTCCATAGTACTCATCGTCTTTTAACATACTATTTATTTTACTTACTCTGTTTATTGCCTGTCTCGCAGGACTATTTTATGTTATATTTATTCATTTATTCATTTATTTATTTTTTTGTTCACCCAGGCTGGAGTGTAGTGGTGCGATCTCAGCTCACTGTAACCTCTGCCTCCTAGGTTCAAGTGATTCTCCTGCCTCAACCTCCCAAGTAGCTGGGATTACATGCATGCTCTACCACACCAGGCTAATTTTTGCATTTTTAGTAGAGACGGGTTTTCACCATGTTGGCCAAGCTGGTCTCTAATTCCTGTCCTCAAGTGATTCACCCGCCTTGGCCTCCCAAAGTGTTGGGATTACAGGTGTGAGCCACCATGCCCGGCCTATTTTATTTTTTTAAGATAGGGTCTGTATTGTTCAGGCTGGAGTACAGTGGCACAATCATGGCTCACTGCAGCCTGAACTCCTGGGCTCAAGCAATCTTCCCATATCAGCCTCCTGCTGGGACTACAGGCATGTGTCATTACACCCAGCTAACTTTTTTCCTTTTTTTTTGGTAGAGACAAAGTCTTGCTATGGTACCCAGGCTGGTCTGGAACTCCTGGCCTCAAGCGATCCTCCTGTCTCAGCCTCCCAAAGTCCCAAAGTGCTGGGCTTACAGACATGAGACACCATGCCTGGTCTGGGGACCTTTATTTTGTTTGCTCTCATCCCCAATATCGTAAACATAATAGATATAATAGGTGCTCAATAAATAAATAAATAAATAAATAAATATTTCTTTCACAGTGTTAGCGCAGGTAGAGAGAAAAAGGCACTCTCGTGTACTACTGGAAAAATTATAATCTGGTTCAGTCTTTTTGAAGGGCAATTTGGCAATATCTACCAAATTTTAAATTACACACTCTTTGGCCTAGAAAAAAACAGTTTTAGAAATTTATCCTACAAATATACTAGCATATGCACACAAAGATGCATGCATAAAATGTTCAGTCAACCACTATCTGCAAGACAAAAGGGCCAGTTGTTTTTAAAATACAGTATGTACTATATACTCTTTAGCTGTAAAATATGTATATTAAATATGTATATGCCAAGATGTAGTGATCTCCAAGGTATAATTTATACAGAAAAAAGCAACATAAAGAAAAGAAAGGATGCTATGGTTTAATTTTTACAGGCCAGGAAAAGGTGATACTTGTCTATGATGAATATTGAAATATTGACTATTTCAGGAAGGAAGCACAAGATATCACTTAACAGTGATTGTCTCTGAGAAGGGGGTCTAGGGAAATGGGGAGGAAGAGAGATCTATTCTATTGTAGATATTTACGTACATCAATTTATTACTATGTGCTTGTATTGCCTTTTCAATATAGTTTTTTTAAGTCCTTTACAGCCACCTAAGGTAGATAAAAACAGACCTCCTCATTTAATAGATAAAGAAGGTGAGAGACAAATACTGACATTTGTCTCTCACCTTCTTTATCTATTAAGAGTTGAGGTTAAAAGTAAAGTTTCCCTAACTATTAATTCCAATGTTTAGGCTTCAGTTCCAGGAAGAAATTAAAAATCTTGTCTCAAGTATTTCTTTGTGTATTAGTAGTAACACTGTGTAACTTAATAAAACACCTGTAAGGTAACAAATTCAAACTCATTTGCAGTCATTTCACTGAAAGTTAACTTCCTTAATTACAAAATAGGATGCTACAGTAGACAATCTCTATGGTTTTTTTCCACCCCTAAAAGGTTTGTGTTTTGTGGTTAGGCAAGTGAATTCCTTCGTATTTCCAGGTATACTGCAACCTCATCTTTTTTTAATCTGGTTTTATTCTCATTTAATATAAGGTTTGTTTTTTCTTAATGTACATGTTTATTTATAAGTATTGTAAAAGGTTAAGGCATTACGTGAATTTTAAATGGGACCATAAACTATGAATGGGGGAAAGGATCAAAATAAAGTACTACAGAATAAAATATCACTTGCCTTTCTTGAACAGAAGAATTGAATATGTATCGCAAACAGCAAGCCCATACCTGAGGACTATAGATATGTATAATTCCAGACAGCCAACTAAAAGAAAAAACTAGAAATTAAAAACCATAGTCACTTACATATATAGCATACTTTACATTCTTCCTAATAAGGTAGATGTATGGCTTTTATCTGCCATACATTAAAGAGCCTTACTAATAAGAAATCTAAAAACGTGCCGATAATTAAGAGGAAGAATATATAGACATCTGTATCTATATAACTATATCGATGTATATAGACAGACATATAGATATATATTGAGAGAGAGAGAAGGACAGAGAGCAAGCACATGTATCTCTGTCCTCTTCTACCTGAGATGTGGGAAAGAAAATGGTTAACAGACATGAAAGCAGTATACTAGAATGAATTAGCTTGGACTGGAAAGAATGGGCTGAAGTAGTACAGACTAGTTTGTAGCCTAAAACTACTTCACGGCCGGGCGCGGTGGCTCATGCCTGTAATCCTAGCACTTTGGGAGGCCGAGGCAGGGGGATCACCTGAGGTCAGGAGTTCAAGACTGGCCTGGCCAAGATGGAGAAACCCCATCTCTAATAAAAATACAAAATTAGCCAGGCGTGGTGGTACATGCCTGTAATCCCAGCTACTTGGGAGGCTGAGGTAGGAGAATCGCTTGAACCCAGGAGGTATAGGTTGCAGTGAGCCGAGATCCTGCCATTGCACTCTAGTCTGGACAACAAGAGTGAAACTTTGTCTCAAAAAAAAAAAAAAAAACAAAAAAAAAACTACTTCACAGACTTGCTGAGGATTAAATGCTGTAACATATACAGGTAATCAGAAACAGAGAAGGCTCTTAATATTTACTTAAGCATCAACAATCCATTGCCTATACTAGGACTGTAGCAAACTATAAGTAGATTTCATGATCCAGAGAACATCTGTGCATTCTCATTCACTTTGCATATGCCATTCTCTCACATGGGTTCCCTTCCCCATCAATCTTCCCTTCTACTATCCAAACAATTAAAAGTCTAGTTCAAGTTTGTCTTCTCTAGGAAAATGCTCCCTATCATATCTTTCTCACAAATACTAAGTGTGCACTTTCTATACTGGTCATTTTATAGTAAATCATATTCTTTATTTTTCTGTGTATGAATATTTGAATGTTTTATCACCTCACTTTGATTTTAAATTAAGAAGCTTTAAACCTCAACATATTATCAAGCATAACACTGTATATAGTAAGTACTCAATACTGAAAGAATATAAATTTCTAAATATTCTGTCTAGATATCAACTCAGATGGCTTGAGCCCAGGAGTTCCAGACCAGCCTGGGTAACGTGGTGAAAGTCCGCCTCTACAAAGTATACAAAACCTAGCCAGACATGGTAGCTGGTGCCTGTGGTCCTAGCTATTCAGGAGGCTGAAGTAGGAGGATCACCTGAACCCCAGAGATTGAGGCTGCAGTGAGTCATGATTGTGCCACTGCACTCCAGTCTGTGTATATATATATATACACACACACACAGGTCTATATATATATATACACACACTCACATATATATATAAATTAAACACATAAATATCATTAACTACTAAAGAGAAGACTGTTAACACTAAAGGAGTTTCTGCAAGATTGCCTGACAGTAGATTTTAAATGGTATTATTATGAGCCGTGAGTTCTTTAGGGTGACTTAAGGATGAGTGGTAGTGAGAGAATATTGAAGAAATAGGGCTCTAAGGCTTCACCTTCAACTAGGAGAATTCAGCTTTTATTTTTTATATTTTTTGAGATGCAGTTTCACTCTTGTTGCCCAAGCTGGAGTGCAATGGCACAATCTCAGCTCATTGCAACCTCCACCTCCCGGGTTCAAGTGATTCTCCTGCCTCAGCCTCCCGAGTAGCTAGCATTACAGGCACACACCACCATGCCCGGCTAATTTTTTGTATTTTTAGTAGAAACGGGGTTTCACCATGTTATCCAGGCTGGCCTTGAACTTCTGACCTCAGGTGATCCGCCCACCTTGGCCTCCAAAAGTGCTGGGATTATAGGCATGAGCCACTGTGCCCGGCCATAGAATTAAACTTTTATCTGTTTTATATATTAGAGTTCCTCCTAGGGTTGGGCAAAATCTGGCCAAGCACGATAGTTCACGCCTGTAATCCAAGCACTTTGGGAGGCTGAGGCGGGTAAATCACTTGAGGCCAGGGGTTCGAGACCAGCCTGGCCAACATGGTAAAACCCCGTCTCTACTAAAAAAACAAAAATTAGCCAGGCACAGTGATGCATGCCTGTAATCCCAGCTACTTGGGAGGGTGAGGCATGAGAATCACTTGAACCTGGGGGATGGAGACTGCAGTGTGCCAAGATCTCTCCGCTGCACTCCAGTCTGGGCACACAGTGAGACTCCATCTCAAAAAAAAAAAGATTGGGCAAAATCTTATTTTAGCTGATTCTACTAGTAAAATAAGAAAACCTGACAACCACTTATCTTTGTGGCTTTATAAAATGATCTAAATAGTTATAGTACAACTAAGTCATACACTTATCATATACATTTGAACATTTGGCTGATAAGGTTTTCATAAATAATGTAATACTTACATTCCCACTAATGGTAGAGAATAAACCTTGGGATCAGATTCCAACAAAAGTAACAATTTGCGTGTTTCATCCATGGTAAGATATCTAAACAGAAGACATTTATGTGAAAATAACTGAAATTATGTACTTTTTACCTAAAAGACATAATCTAGACGCTGAAGCATACTTTAGAAAGTGGAGATAATTCAAATGAACATTGTCTTGCACACACAAAAGAAACACAACAGAAACTTTGTACTGACTCAGTAAAAGGACTCTGGTAAGAGGAAGAGATTAAAGAGATTTAATACCTTAAAACTTCCATCTATCAATTAAAAGACATTGAAGATTATACAACTTTTTAAAAAAGTTTTGCTCTATAACTTTACTTACAATTTACTTTAATCAAGAGTGTTAACATTAAGGCATACAATTTGAGAACCAAATAGGTTTCCTTGGAAGAACTGAATTCCCTATTACTGGAAAATGTTCATGCATCCAAGTGATTTGACAAGACTGCAACAGATGTGACTTCTAAGTGAAGGAGGCTGAATTAGGAGAGGTATAATCAACCCTCCATGTGCCACATTCCTCCAACCACTGTCAAAGGACTTTGGAACCATCATGATAAAACCCAAAAGCTCACTCTTCCCTAAAAGGACATTATACTATATTTATATTTTATTTATTATTGACAGTAAGTTATAAGAATACAAAAAAAACAAAATAGAATTGTTTATTTTATTGTTATATCTTTCTTCGAAAACAATGCCATTAGTGGGCCAGAAGTGGTGGCTCATGCCTGTAATCCCAGCACTTTGGGAGGCCGAGGCGGGCAGATCACTTGAGGTCAGGAGTTCAAGACCAGCATGGCCAACATGGCAAAACCCCCATCTCTACTGAAAATACAAAAAAAAATTAGCTGGTCATTGTGGCACACGCCTGTAATCCCAGCTACTTGGGGAGGCTGAGGCAGGAGAATGAATCACTTGAACCCAGGAAGTGGAGGTTGCAGTGAGCTGAGATTGCACCACTGCATTTCAGCCTGGGCGACACAGTGAGACTCCGTCTCAAAAACAGAAAACAAAATGCTATTATTGATATAAAGCCTTGGTATTACCACTGGTGATATATTTTATTGCTCTAATAACACTAAAACACAAAGACAATACATTTGTCAGGTCTTGTGACAAGAATATTAAGCCTGAGTTAGCCTAAGATTTACATATCAACAATGACACAGCTGCTTTGAAAGTTCTCCCTCATGTCTTGCTCATCTGATAAATTTCTACTCCTTAAAAGAATTAGTTCAGGCTGGCCGGGCACGGTGGCTCACGTCTGTAATCCCAGCACTTTGGAAGGCTGAGGCAGGTGGATCACAAGGTCAGGAGTTCAAGACAAGTCTGGACAAGATGGTGAAACCCCATCTCTACTAAAAATACAAAAATTAGCCGGGTGTGGTGGCGGGCGCCTAAAATCCCAGCTACTTGGGAGGCTGAGGCAAGAGAATCGATTGAACCCGGGAGGCGGAGGTTGCAGTGAGCCGAAATCACGCCACTGCACTCCAGTCTGGTGACAGAGCGAGACTCCGTCTCAAAAAAAAAAAAAAAAAAAAAATTAGTTCAAGCTTTCTATGATTTCCCCAGGAAATTTGGACATCCCTCCCCCTACTTTCCCAGCACTGCATATAAACCTCCATTATAACACATCATGTTTAGATGTCAACATATTCAATGGATAGTAAGTATAGTTTTTAATCTATTTGTTTCCAATGTCTAACATAATACCTATTCCATAATGGGCCCCAGTAAATATTAGAATATATAAAGGGCAAATGTCAAATTTTTTTTTTTTTAAATGATGGGGTCTCACTATATTGTCCTAGCTGGAGAGCAGTGGCTATTCACGGGCACTATTGTAGCTTACAGCAGCCTTGAAACCCTAAGCTCAAGCCATCCTCCTGCTTCAGTCTCCCAAGCAGCTAGGATTACAGGTGTGTGCCAATGCACCTGGCATGGCAAATGTCACCACAGACGATTCTAGATAGGAAGGGGCAAGGGGAATAGGTGATTGACAGAATACTGAACATTCTGGTTATTACCAGCATGCCCAGCAGTCACAGATGGATAATTCCAAGAAAGGTAAATTCATGCTATTCAAGTAAATGGGCATGGGTACTAAGGAAAACAAATTAATTTTTTTGTTAATTTAAATAAAAATCCCATGCTCCACTTGAGAAGTACTTTATTAATTCAAGAGAATTAAATGTTTCGTTTAACTCAAACAAGTTTTGCTCACTTTTGACACTCCATGATTTTGGAATATACCAACAATTTTTCCTTTGGGCCACCAGAAAGCACAGCTCTGGTCAGAATCTGGTTCTGAAAAGGTATTTTTAGAGAATAAGACTTGGAATTGAGTGTACTTTGGCAAACATTTTTAGATTGAAAGGCCTAACAGGAACTAGGGTGGAGTCACTGGGAAAGGAAGCCAGAAGTGTAATATTTGGAGCAGTCTCTGGTCAAACTTTAAAGTAGAGAGTGCTTTTATTGTCTAACCTAGTTTTGTAGATAATAGATAAAGAAAACAGATGAAGATTCAGGGAAGTAGCCCTGCTGAGGATTAGAAAGCATGCATTTTGGCTTATATTTCCTAAGAAATTAAGAGTGGAGATAGGAAGCTGGAGAGGATTCTACTCCAGCTCTGTAAGGAAACTCCACCCTCAAGTAGTTGGCAATTTGGTAAGCAAGAGTACTGTAACTTTTTATTTAATTATCTCCTTTCTCTATCTGCAATGCTCATTATTCACAGTTAAAACTGCATACTATAAATAAATTATCTAGCCTCCCTTGGGTTCATAATTAGTCAGGTTATAGTTAAGAAAAAAAATGGCCTAAAACCTAAATAAAATATGAACAATAACACAGAATATGTAATATAGAACATAATTTCTCCTTACATTTTCAAATAATAAATTATCAACCAATTTTTTTGTTTGTTCTTTTTTTCTGAAATAGAGTCTCGCTCTGCCGCCCACACTGGAGTGCAATGGTCTGATCTCAGCTCACTGCAACCTCCGCCTTCCAGGTTCAAGCAATTCTCCTGTCTCAGTCTCCTGAGTAGCTGGGATTACACAGGCATGTGCCACCACACCCAGTTAATTTTTTCTTCTTTTTTTTTTTTGGCATTTTTAGTAGAGATGGCGTTTCACCATGTTGGTCAGGCTAGTCTCGAACTACTGACCTCGTGATCTGCCCGCCTTGGCCTCCAATTTTAATATATTTAACACCAAGTTTTTTTTTTTTTTTTAGAACTGAGGTCTCCGGGACTGGGCATGGTGGCTCACCCCTGTAATCTCAGCACTTTGGGAGGCTGAGGCAGGAGGATCACCTGAGGTCTGGAATTCAAGTCCAGCCTGGCCAACATGGTGAAACCTTATTTCTACTAAAAATACAAAAATTAGCTGGTATAGTGGCGTGCACCTGTAATCACAGCTACTCGGGAGGCTGAGGTGGGAGGATCGCTTGAACCAGGGAGGTAGAGGTGGAAGTGAGCCAAGATCCCACCACTGCACGCCAGTCTGGGTGACAGAACAAGACACCATCTCAAAAAAAGAACCGAGTTGTCCAGACATTATACTTTATGGCCACTCAGTTTTGTCTTTTTTGTTTGAAATGGAGTCTCCGCTGCCCAGGCTGGAGTGCAGTGGTGCGATCTCAGCTCACTGCAACCTCCACCTCCCAGGTTCAAGTGATCCTCCCTCCTCAACCTCCCGAGTAGCTGGGACTACAGGCATGCACCACTACGCTCAGTTAATTTTTATATTTTTAGTACAGACAGGGTTCCGCCATGTTGGCCAGACTGATCTTGAACTCCTGACCTCAGGTGATCTGCCCACCTGGGCCTCCCCAAGTACAGGTGTGAGCCACCGCGCCGGGCCCTACCACCAATTTTTTGTAGGGTGGTGGCACAACTTAAAGAAAACTTTATATTCAACAAAAATAAACCACTTCATTTTTTACTTTCCCTTGTTATTAACCAAGCCACCATATCTCTGGCATGTAAACTGACTGCACAATTCTTTCATATTACACGGACATTCTGAAAATATACTAATGCAACTAATGTTTAGATTAATGTATCTTTTACTTACCCATATTTATAAGTCCCTTGAACTTGAGAAATATTCAGATTACTGCTCAAGTTTCTTGCCAGAGCTGTTGGAATAATGGGGATGGGCTTCACAGGTGTGCATTTGAAGTTATTTGCTAGAGTTACTGCTGCCCAATGCAAGTCAAATTCCACACTGTCCAAAGTCTCCCTGGAAGTGATATGAGCTCTTAGGGAAAGCAGCTTACCACAGTCCAAGGAATCTTTGCTACATATATGGCACTGTAGAGCCTGAGAAATCAATATTAAATAATTATTTTACAACTTCGAAACGTGCAAAGTTTATTTTATACTGATACATATACATATATAATATCTTGCACTAATAAAATTAAATGAGTTCTGACTTACATTTCAGTTCTCATTTCTTCCATGTGACCAAAAGATTATGTGAATAATTATATCAAAGCAAGTAAGATTCACTGTCCCAAGCTCCACTACACATTTCCAATGCAAATATCCTAGCAGCACTTCAGTCATATTGGGAAGTCACCCCCAATAAATACTTACTACATGGGAAAAAATGGACATAAAATAAGTCTTATTTTTTTTTTTGAGGAGTCTCGTTTTTTTGCCCAGGCTGGAGTGCAGTGGCGCAATCTCAGCTCACCACAAACTCCACCTCCCAGTTCAAGCGATTCTCCTGCCTCAGCCTCCCAAGTAGCTGGGATTACAGGTATGTGCCACCACACCCAGCTAATTTTTTGTATTTTTAGTAGAGATGGGGTTTTACCATGTTGGCCAGGTTGGTCTTGAACTCCTCTTGATCAGCCCGCCTCAGCCTCCCAAAGTGCTGGGATTATAGGCGTGAGCCACCGTGCCTGGCCTCATAAAATAATTCTGATTGAGTCTCAGAGAATCTAAAGTCCATTCCTCTTTGATTCCTTTCTTGCTACCACAAACTGTCAAGTTAGTTCTCCCTCTGTATTTGCCCATGCCCACTGTGTCCTTCCTAGTTTCACTGCTACCATTGTACCATAGGTTAATACATCCCTCTGTAATACACACCAGCCCAACTACCACAATGGCTACTCTCTATAACTTCAGTCAGCCTACCCTACCAGATTAACTTATTTCTGATTTGACAGTTTCCTTTTCTCAAGAACCTTCAATTACTACATGGCCCGTATGACACAGTTCAAATTCCTAAGGCTGGCAGACAAGGCTCTTTTTTCTTGAGAAAGGATCTTGCTCCCACCAAGGCTGGAGTGTCGGGCTCAAGCAATCCACCTGCCTCAGCCTTCCAAAGTGTTGGGATTACAGACACAAGCCACCATGCCCAGGCAAGCCTCTCCATAATCTGACCAAATTAATACTCCAGTCCGACTGCCTACAAATTCAGCAAAAATGTATACCCCGAACACTACCCTAAGTACATCTTGAACTTTCTTATCTTGGTTACACTGCTTCTTCTGAAAGGCTTACCTAGAATTTTTGCCCTCAGAAACACATTTACTTGGATTTTAGGATCACAATAATTCAATCAAATTATTGTGAATAATTCTCAAATATGGTTTTACTAAAATACAGCATACTAAACATAGTTTGATTCTTGTGTTGAATTAACTATCAAGTTGTCAATGAATCGCACCTTTAAAGCTGAACTGAAGTCATCTACACTGTGAACTATCATTTCTCTTGAACAAAGTTCTTGAACATGAACTTTGCATGGAATCAAAAAGTCCCCAGGAAGAGAAGCAGTAGGGGTTATTTCTAGACATTCAGGTACTTCTCGACCAGGATCAAAGCGATCTACTGTCAATGTCACACCTTCTTCATCTGTAGAACAAAAATAACAGCTATTATATAGTATACTGATTAAAAACATAAAATCAACCCAGCAAGACTACATTATAGCAAAGCACTTTGTTCATATCAATAATACACTAAACTCTTAAATACTAAACTAAAATCTTACAGTAAACTAAACTTTTACAAGAGTATACTAAACTCTTACTTGCTTATATACATTCATCCATCTGACCAGATAGTGAAGTCTGTAATTGATGGTTTTACTCATCTTCATATCCTTGGTACACAGCAAAGAAAATTAGCACAAAGCAAATACAATAGTTGACCGAATCAATGAATTCTATTGCAGTCATACAAGTAATTTTTAAAAAGGTTTTCTTGTACTGATGGGGTCTCACTATGTTATGCAAGCTGGTCTTAAACTCCCAGGTTCAAGCAATCCTCCCACTCCAGCCTCCCAACGTGCAGGGATTACAGATGTGAGCACTGGTCAATTTTTAAAAGTGTATTACCTTCGTCTACTGTCAGAGAACCAAGTAAAAAGCACGATGAATTTTTTTTATTCTGCTTAGCATGACGATAAGCAAGCCGGATGGTCTTTTTAGTCACTACAAGCTTTGGATTTCTGAAAAACAACAAGTCTTTTATGAACATGGTAGATCTCATATCTTAAAAAAACCTCCTGCCATAAAATGCTGTCTAAATTATAACACACATTTTAAAAAATGTACAGAAAGATCATTGTCAGGAAATCCCAGGGTCAAAGGCAGGGGATAGGGAGGGCCACCTAGAAACTAGAATGGCAATAAACAGACACTGAGACTACAGTTGTTCTCCAGGCATTTTGTTAACTTGATGAACCTCAGCAGGTAGGTCTCCTGTTTTTGTAAGTTAAAACAATCACATCTATTTCTTTACATACTGTGGATGGGCTTCAGATATAATTAGCATTACAGTGGTGCCCCCTTATCTCTGGGAGACATGTTCCAGACCCCCAAGTGGATGTCTGAAACCGCAGATAGTAACAAATCCTATATATACTATGTTTTTTCCTATACATACATATCTATGATAAAGTTTAAATTATAAATTAGGCACAGTAAGTGATTAACAACAATAATAATACAATCGAATAATTTTAACAGTATACTCTAATAAAAGTTGTATGAATATAGTCTGTCTCTCAAAATACCTTATTGTACTATACTGTGGGTAACTGAAACCACGGAAAGTGAAACCATGTATAAAGGGGGGAAACTACTGCATTGAATACAAAATATAGTATGATTTAAATGTTTTAAAAAATGTAAAAGGAAAACCAAAATATGAGCCAGGAATAAGATACTATGAAAACAGACCAGGCAAATTTGAATAAAAAAGCCATATGGAACTTAAAGAAATAAAAAATATAATTTGCAAAAATTCAATGAGTTATATAATTAACTGGGGATAGGTACACAAATGTGTATTTTTATTCTATTAACTATGCATATATACTATAAGTATCCTTTCATATATATGGTACACCGCCACATTTAAAAAACCTAAATGAGGGCCGGGCGCAGTGGCACACGCCTGTAACCCCAGCACTTTGGGAGGCCGAGGCAGGTATCACCTGAGGTCAGGAGTTCGTGACCAGCCTGACTAACATGGTGAAACCCCATCTCTACTAAATATAAAAAAATTAGCCAGGCATGGTGGCACATGCCTGTAATTCAAGCTACTTGGGAGGCTGAGACAGGAGAATTGCTTGTACCTGGGAGGTGGAGGTTGCAGTGAGCCTACATCACGCCATTGCACTCCAGCCTGGACAACAAGAGCAAAACTCCATCTCAAAAACAAAAACAAAAACAAAAACAAAAAAACCCAACCAAACCTAAATGAACAGGTTAGATGGCAGCTAAGCACAGCTAAAGAGAAAATAAGTAGACTTGAAAAACAAAGGAAACTACTCAAAATGTACAGAAAGATAACAATAAAAAAAATAAAAACAGGACTAACCATTATTTAGTTGAACTTCCATAAGACTCTCCCTATTTTTCAATAGTACCACCCTTCTCTGCCAACCAGTGTTGAACCTGAATACTTTCTGACTTGTATCTTTCCTTCATTCCTCTAGTCAGTCAATCATCAAATACTACAAACTATTTCTTCAAAACACCTTGTTTCATTCTTTCCTCTTGATCTGAATACCGCTACATTGCTCTAAGTCCTTATAATATATAATAGATGCCATTTATGAAATACTTTCTATTCCAGGCACTGTGACAATTGCTCTACAGAGTCTTATTTAACCCCTAGAAGAGAACTGTGAAACTGGTATTATTATAGTCATTTTATAAAAAAGGAACCTGATCCTTGGCTACTTTACTGAGGTCGCATAAATAAGCAGTAGAATCAGGATTTGATTTCCTAGGCAGTCTTCCTCCAGTTATTGCACTTTTTTTTTTTTTCTTATTTTGTTTTTTTTACTTTTTATTTTAATTTTTTTATTGAGACAAAGTCTCACTTTGTTGCCCAGGCTGCTTTCAAACTCCTGACTTCAAGCAATCCTCCTGCCTCAACTTCCCAAAGTGCTGGGGTTACAGGTGTGAGCCACCACGCCCAGCCCAGTTACAGAACCTTAAACCATTACAGTATACACCTGTGTGATTACAGAAAAGCATCTTGAAGCTAGGCTGACTCAAGGCTCTCCTCACCACAATCTATCTTTCTTAGAATACTACTTTTAACAAGTAACTCTTAGGTACAAAACCTCAATAGATCTAGTTTCTACTACTCTACACCTAAACTTCTTTCTTGTCTTTCTGTCAAGGTCCTGGAGGTAACCACAAGGTTTTATACTCCTTCTAATCTGATCCACTCAAAAATCGGTTCAAGCTTCTCAATGTTCTACAAAGACACCATGCTGATATGATAAAAGATACTTCCAGTTTTTATTATATTTCACCTCTTTTGAATTCCTACAATATGCAGAATTTGCAAAAAACTGGGAAATTAAGATTATCTCTCAAAAGTACAAGGAACAGATGTTAAGAAGCAGCAGAAGGAAGATTTTGCCTGAGGGGAGCTTCTAAAAGAAAAGTAAAGAAAAATTAATAATTGGTCATAGTAATCAACTTTGCCTTACACATCTTTGTATTACTCTTGTTTATACTGGTTTGATTTGAAAAAAAGAAACATGTTATACCTGTAGTAACTGAGATGTAAGTAGATGAAATCTCCAGTTGGCGTTGGGTTCCAAAGTGCACATTTTGATGGAGGAAAGTGGAAAGGTACCATCCTGCTTGAAGGAAACCTTTCAAAAAACAATTTAAAATTAAAGCACAAGGATTAGCAAACTTGGTAGACATCTGGTAGGAAACAATTAACTATCTTTAAGGTGATGGTATTTTCAGATTACTTTTGTAATCTGCAAAGAGTATATATATATATATTTTTTTTTTTTTTTTGAGACGCAGTCTCACTCCATCACCCAGGCTGGAGTGCAGTAGCATGATCTCAGCTCACTGCAACCTCTGCCTCCCGGGTTCACGCAATTCCCCTGCCTTAGCTTCCTGAGTACCTGGGATTACAGGTATGAACCACCACATCCAGCTAATTTTTGTATTTTTAGTAGAGACGGGGTTTCGCTATGTGGGCCAAGCTGGTCTCGAACTCCTGACCTCAAGTCATCCACCTGCCTCGGCCTCCCAAAGTGCTAGGATTATAGGCATTAGCCACTGTGCCCGGCCAAAAAATACTCTTTTTTTTTTTTGAAACAGATTCTCGCTCTGTCACCCAGGCTGGAGTGTTGTGGCGCAATCTCGGCTTACTGCAACCTCCACCTCCAAGGTTGAAGTGATTCTCCAGCCTCAGCCTCCCAGGTAGCTGGGACTACAGGCGCATACCATCATGCCTGGCTAATTTTTTGTATTTTTAGTAGAGACAGGGTTTCACCATGTTAGTCAGGATGGTCTCGATCTCCTGACCTCATGATCTGCCCATTTCACCCTCCCAAAGTGCTGGGATTACAGGCGTGAGCCACCACGCCCAGCCTTTTTTTTTTTTTCAGACGGAATCTCACCCTGTTGCCCAGGTTGGAGTGCAATGGCGTGATCTCAGCTTACTGCAACCTCTGCCTCTGGGTTCAAGTGATCCTCCCACCTCAGCCTCCCAAGTAACTAGGATTGCGGGGGTGCACTACCACATGCAGGTAATTTTTTGTATCTTTAGTAGAGACGGGGTTTCACCATGTTGGCCAAGCTGGTCTCAAACTCCTGACCTCATGATCCACCGCTTCAGCCTCCCAAAGTGCTGGGATTACAGGCGTGAGCCACCGCGCCCGGCCCAAAATATATTTTTTAAAAAAGAAAACTCACAGGCTGGGCGCGGTGGCTCAAGCCTGTAATCTCAGCACTTTGGGAGGCCGAGACGGGCGGATCACGAGGTCAGGAGATCGAGACCATCCTGACTAACACGGTGAAACCCCATCTCTACTAAAAAATACAAAAAACTAGCCGGGCGAGGTGGCGGGCGCCTGTAGTCCCAGCTACTCGGGAGGCGGAGGCAGGAGAATGGCGTCAACCCGGGAGGCGGAGCTTGCAGTGAGCTGAGATCCGGCCACTGCACTCCAGCCTGAACGGCAGAGCGAGACTCCATCTCAAAAAAAAAAAAAAAAAAAAAAAGAAAACTCACTTGTAACTCTACTACCAGGAGAATAGACACTCAAAATTTGGCTTATTTGTCCTTTTTATCTATGCATATGTAAATTTATATATACACAAGCTTTTAAAAAAGAACAAGACAATCCTATAAAGTCCCTTTTAAGTAACAGAAAAACGAGTATAAATCATAAATTTACATTTAAATTTAAACTAAAATCTTTCTTTTCTTTTCTTTTTTTTTTTTAAAGAGCAGGGCCTTGCTCTGCTGCCCAAGTTGGAGTGCAGGGGCACAATCGTAGCTCACTGCAGCCTTAAACTCCTGGGTTCAAGGGAGCCTCTAGAGCAGCTAGGACCACAAATGTGCACCACCACGTGAGGTTCACTTTCGTATTTTTTGTAGACACAGGGTCCCACTATGCTCCCCAGACTGGTCTTGAACTCATGGTTTCAAGCAATCTTCCTACCTTGGCCTCCCAAAACACTGGGATTATAGGCATGAGCCATGGCTCCTGGACTAAAATCTGTCTTTCTGAACTAATTTCAGATAATTGCTAGACAATACCCAATAGTTATGAAAAGCAAAAAACCTTAATAGATTCTTATTTTCCAGTGTTTCCAAAGTTGGTATTTTGGAATAACAAAATACTGCACAAGTTTAATTACTGAAGCATCAAAAGGACATAATTATAAATAATTCCTCAACAAAGATGGCAGGGGCAGTGTAAAGCAAGGTTTCAATATTAAATCATATAGGCTACCATAAAAAACTTTTCATTTTACATGAATGAATAATACAGGAAAACCACAATAAGAAAAAGACCACTAATGGGGCCAGGCCCGGTTGCTCACACCTATAATGTCAGCATTTTGGGAGGCCAAGGGAGGAGGATCACTTGAGGCCAGGAGTTCGAGACCAGCCTGGCCAACAGGGCGAAACCAGCATGGGCGACAAAGTGAGACTCTGTCTCCAAAAAATAAAAAATAAAAAAATAGTAACTAAGTGTACAGTTGGATTGTCTGTAACACAAAAGATAAATGCTTAAGGGGATGGATACCCTATTTCCCATATATGATTATTACACATTGCATGCCTTATAAAAATGTCATATACCCCATAAATATATATACCACGTACCCACAAAAATTTAAATTTTTAAAATTAGAAACAAAATATACTGAACTTGTTACACAACTGTACCCTTCTAAGAACAGAAGTTAAGAAAATTTTTCTGTCTACACGGGGTTTCCCATGTTGCCCAGGCTGATTTTGAACTCCTGAGCTCAAGCAATCTGCCCACCTCAGCCTCCCAAAGTGCTGGGATTACAGGCATGAACCACCTGGCCCACTGACAAATTTCTTTTTTTTTTTTTTTGAGACGGAGTCTGGCTCTGTTGCCCAGACTGGAGTGCAGTGGCGCCATCTCGGCTTACTGCAAGCTCCGCCTCCCGGGTTCACACCATTCTCCTGCCTCAGCCTCCCAAGTAGCTGGGACTACAGGTGCCCGCCACTACGCTCGGCTAATTTTTTGTATTTGTTTTTAGTAGAGACAGGGTTTCACCGTGTTAGCTAGGATGGTCTCGATCTCCTGACCTCATAATCCGCCCATCTCGGCCTCCCAAAGTGCTGGGATTACAGGCTTGAGCCACCGCGCTGACAAAGTTTGAAATAAGAGATGGCAGGGGGGTAGAACACAAGAGCCAAAATTAAAGCAAAAGGAATATATGATAGCCTCCTTGGGTCATGTTTCCCATTATGTTCATCAAGAACATCTGGCACAAAGAAAGACATTATAGAGAATAAAGGGGACCCATGAATGTAATTCTAGTTTGGAAGAAAAAAAAATGCACGTCAGCATTAATTGTTGTTCCCTAGGGGAAAAAAGAGCAATAAATGATCCAAAGAGCCAAACAATACAAGTTGATTTGCCCAGTCCCCATAGTAACTAGGGACAGAGAAAATTGGAAGACAGGTGGCAAGCTCCTACTTCACATGACAAAGGCTTAGGAACATCTGAGGAAATTTGGTATACCTAATGTGAAATTATTCGCATCAAGGAATTAGTATTTGTAAGAGGGAAGGAACCCGACCACTTTCCCACTTGTCTAGAAAGTAAACAAACACCGAGGTAATTTTTAGCCTCTTAAGTTCAGGTACTATTTCCCGTCAATAAAGATCTGTGTTATGAAAATAACTGAAGGAGGGGACGGAACTAGTATTTACTGAGTGCCTATTACGTACTAGACCCTTTAGTTTAGTAATCTTATTTAACCCTTCACAATAATCTTCTGTGAGACAGAGATTACCATCCTCATTTTACAGATGAGGAACTGAGGCTTAGTTAATTAACTTGATCAAGGTAACCTACCTAACAAGTGGTAGAGCTGGGATATGAACCCAGAATTTCCTGATTCTAAAGATTATGTTCTTTTTTCTCTTCCAACCTACCTTCCCAAGTTATGTGAACAGCTGTAAGACAAATATTTGTAAAAATACTTCTATACCTGGTATTCATCTGGGGCCATGCAAGAGGATATATAGGCTCCATGATGTCTGGTGAATTATTTCTTTAATTTCAAATCCTCAGTATCCTAAAGAATTAAAGAGAATATTACTAATGAATGTAAAAACAAAGAAGAAAAATATGATTTAACAACATATTAAAATTACAGGCAAAATTAGATTACTTCTTATATGAAGTGTGACTATAGATTAATAAGATTAAATGCTTATAGATTCTGCCAATCATTTTCATATGTTACAGTCATTCTGCCAATAAATTACTGTGAATATTTATTCTAGGCAGCAAAATCTACCAATATACCTATCCCTTAAGGAAAGCTCAGATTCTGCCCCAAAACCTTGGTATCAACTTAGTGAGCTTGATAGGGCAGGTCGTATTAAATGTATGACATTTTGACCAAAAGCCTTACAATCCTCATAAAACCATGAAGCAGCAGAAAAGAATGATTTGGGTTAGATATTTATTGGGCCTACAATGAAGTCATTAAAGAATCTTCAGTGGAAAAAAAAAAAAAAGTACTGCATTCCCACAAACTGACTTGTGTCACTAAAAAATCAGTGTACTTTTTTTCTTTTTTTTTTGAGACGCAGTCTCGTTCTGTCGTTAGGCTGGAATGCAGCAGCGCAATCTCAGCTCACTGCAACCTCTGCCCCCTGAGTTCAAGTGATTCTCCTGCCTCAGCCTTCTGAGTAGCTGGGACTACAGGTGCATGCCACCACACCCAGCTAATTTTTGTATTTTTAGTAGAGATGGGGTTTCACCATGTTGGTCGGGATGGTCCCGATTTGACCTCATGATCCGCCCACCTCGGCCTCCCAAAGTGCTGGGATTACAGGCATGAGCCACTGCACCCAGCCCAGTATTCTTTTTTTAACTCCAGATTCTCTCTCTGGGTACTATCCTCCACTCCTATTGCTTCTACACTCACCTATCTATAGCAAATCTTTAGCTCCACCTCTCTTCTGAGTTTCCAATCCATTTTCTTTTTTTTTTTTCTTTTGAGACAGGGTCTCACTCTGTAGCCCAGGCTGAAGTAGTACAGTGATGCAATCTCAGCTCACTGCAACCTCCACCACCTGAGCTCAGGTGATCCTCCCACCTCAGCCTCCCGAATAGCTGGGACCACAGGCATTCACTACCGCACCTGGCTAATTTTTTTGTATTTTTTGTAGAGACAGGGTTTTGTCATGTTGCCCAGGCTGGTCTCGAACTCTTGGACTAAAGCAATCCATCCGCCTTAGCCTCGAAAAGTGCTGGGATTATAGGCATAAGCCGCCATGCCTGGATGTTTCAAATCCATATTTCTAACTGCCCACTGGATAGTTCCATCTAAGACCTCATAGTCCTTTCTTTAGAGTTTAGTATGTCCTATATTCTTTCAAGTCTTAGAGTTCTTTAGGTCCTGAACATTCTGTATCAATTCTAGGAAAAAGAAACTGTCTAAGGCCGGGTGTGGTGGCTCATTCCTGTAATTCCAGCCCTTTGGGAGGCTGAGGCAGGTGGATCACCTGAGGTCAGGAGTCTGAGACTATCCTGGCCAACATGGTGAAACCCCTTCTCTACTAAAAACACAAAAATTAGCTGGGCATGGTGGTGCACACCTGTAATCCCAGCTAGCCAGGAGGCTGGGGCAGGAGAATCGTCTGAACCTGGGAGGCAGAGGTTGCAGTGAGCCGAGATTGTCCCACTGCACTCCAGCCTGGGCAAGAGAGTGAGTCTCTGTCTCACGCTGTGTGAAGCAAGATAAAGGAGAAAAGGATAATTAATCCAGGTGCAGAGATTATTTAGAAGAGACTTTTTAGATAAAGTCAGAGGCTGAAAATCCTATTGAAAATGCTCTTATACCTTGTTCAAGGCAGAGAAAAATGTGTTCTTAATAAAGTTGACTAGGACAGGCACGGTGGCTCATGCCTGTAATCCCAACACTTTGGGAGGCCGAAGCAGGCAGATCACGAGGTCAGGAGATTGAGACCATCCAGGCTAACATGGTGAAACCCCGTCTCTACTAAAAATACAAAAAATTAGTGGGGCGTGGTGGCGGTCACCTGTAGTCCCAGCTACTCGGGAGGCTGAGGCAGGAGAATGGCGTGAACCCAGGAGGCGGAGCTTGCAGTGAGTGGAGATTGCACCACTGAACTCTAGCCTGGGTGACAGAGCGAGACTCTGTCTCAAAAAAAAAAAGTTGACTAAAAAGTCCTTCTTAGAAATATCTGGACTTAAAAGGTTTAATGCAGCTTCCATGGAATGCAGGCTTTAAATCCTAAAACCCTTCCTTAGTACTTGGTTGTCACGGATAACAGTATTCACGTGGATAACTATAACTCTACAAAGTATAAAAAGTGCCAATTTTTTCTTCATTAAACAAAAGTATCTTAAAATGTGCTATTTGTGTCTTCTTTATTCATTGGAGTGAAAAGATGGATAATGTTGATTTCTCATTTTAAAACAATATACATAAGGTAGTTTCACTGTCAGTGTTGTACAAGCAATTAAAGCTAATGAAACTAAAACCACACAACACCTATACCTAGCAAAACATATTCTCAGGTGAAGGCATCATCGTATACAATAGAAACCTTCAAATCATCCTCACCCCTTCTTCCATACAAATAATCTTTCCATACCCACCAACTCAGTTGCTAACTTCATCAACTCTCACGGTACTTACGAAAAAGTCCCCACAGTGCTGCTAGAAGGGTATTTCCATATAAATCTGATCAAATTATTCTCCTGCTTTAAAAGTCAATGGCTCATGTCAGGCGCGGTGGCTCACGCCTGTAACCTCAACATTTTGGGAGGCCGAGGTGGGTGGATCACCTGAAGTCAGGAGTTCGAGACCAGCCCGGCCAATATGGTGAAACCCTGTCTCTAGTAAAAATACAAAAAACTGCTGAGCGTGGTGGCATGTGCCCATAATCCCAGCTACTAGGGAGGCTGAGGCAGGAGAATCGCTTGAACCCGGGGGACGGAGGTTGCTGTGAGCCAAGATCATGCCACTTCACTCCAGCCTGGGCCAAAGAGTGAAACTGCGTCTCAAAAATAAAAATAAAAATAAAAATAATTTTTTAAAAAAAGCCGATGGCTCTTCTTTACACACAGAATAAAGGATCTTCACAATCCAGCCCCACTCTATTATTCCAACCTTAACCCCCATCCACTCATCCTACATTCCAGTCAAACTGAACTACTTGCAGTGCCCCGGTTTCAGTATCTGCACAGGCTGCCCCCCCTTAACTTGGAATGCCCTGGTAAACCCCCGCCATCCCTCACAATCCAACTCGAATGTCACTTCCTCTGTGAAACCTTCTCCCAAACACCCTGGTGATGGTACTATACTGTCTCTGTATTCACACGCATAGCATTCTCGCACTTCGCGGCTTACACTTTACTTCCAGTAGTCCACGAACTTCAAACATTAACTGATCCCTTTACTACGTAGCAGAGTGTAAGCCAGAAATTGTGAGGAATGCAAGAGGGAGCATTCAAGGTTTCAGGCCTCAAGAAATTCCCACCGTAAAAACAACTTTAAATGGCACGTTATCGACTGCAAACCTCTTTCGCATATCTTAGCTCAGATCATACCCAAAGATTTCATGGAATGCTTAATTTCTCCCACTAGCTCCCCTTCTCGTCATCGGCTCCAGGCTCCTGGAGGGCGGAACCCACTACAAGGCTTTGAATGTTCCCACCAACCTTCCCCGGGCCCCGCTGCCGCCCCTCAAGGGGGAACCAGGAGCACAAAGCTCCACTTACCGCAACTTCCGCGGAGCTGAGGTCTGTTTGCAGGGTAGAAGCAGGAGCCGGCTCCAGGAAGCACCACCGCCTCACCACCAACTCCGGTACCGCCTCTGGGACGTTGGGGTCGCGGGAACCTAGGCGGCAAACACAGGCTCGCGAAACCGAAGGCCGCGCCGCGCCTGCTGACTGGTCAGAAACCCCGCCAGTCAGGGAGCGGGGGTGGTGCTAGAGCGCCGCGCACGGTCGCCGTTACGTACTGGCGTGCCAACCAATCAGCGCCCCGCGCTGGTTCTGCGCTCGACCAATCCCAAGTCTTCTTGGAGAACTGCGGGCGCCATCGGCGCTCCAGGATCGAGGTTCCGAGGATTTAAACCTTTCATTTCGTCAACGGTTAAGTTCCGGGGCGGGGTAGGCTTTCCGCTAGCGCAATGGAAAGCCCAGCTAGGTAGACGGAGGAGCGAGTGGCAGATGAAGCCGGAAGTGCTCTATAAGACGGTCATCGGTCGGCTACTGGAAGCGGACACCTGAAGAACAGTTACCAAACTATTTACCCGAAAGCACAAAAGACAAAGTTAGAGTTCTTCCAGTTTCTTACTTTTTAATTTTTATTCTAAAATTTACATTTTAATTTTTCCTTTTTCTGATCACTTATCCTCAAGTTCTAGATTTCTTCCAGTTTATTTCCTAGGAAGCCATCTGTGTTACTGATATTATTTATTTATTTATTTATTTATTTTTGAGGTGGAATCTCAGTCTGTCGCCCAGGCTGGAGTGCGATGGCGCGATCTCGGCTCACCGCAACCTCCCCCTCCCGAGTTCAAGCCATTCTCCTGTCTCAGGCTTCCAAGTAGCTGAGATCTACCACCCACCACCACGCCCGGCTAATTTTTGTGGTTTTTAGTAGAGACGGGGTTTTACCACGTTGGCTAGGCTGGTCTTGAACTCTTGACCTCAGGTGATCCACCCGCCTTGGCCTCCCAAAGTGCTGGGATTACAGGCGTGAGCCACCACACTGGGCCCAAATTTTTATTTATTAATTTATTGATTGATTGAGACGGGGTCTTGCTCTGTCGCCCAGGCTGGAGTGCAGTGGCACTATCTTGGCTCACTGCAACTCACTGCACACTGCCTTCCAGGTTCAAGCAATTCTGCCTCAGCCTCCCGAATAGCTGGGGTTACAGGCAAGCACTACCACGGCCGGCTAGTTTTTGTATTTTTAGTAGAGACCAGGTTTCACCATGTTGGCCGCCAGGCTGATCTGGAATTCCTGACCTTAAGTGATCTGCCCACCTCGGCCTCTGAAACTGCTGGGATTACAGGAGTGAGCCACCGCCCCCAGCAAAGTAACATAAAAATTTTAAATTCTCGTTGAATAGAAGAAAAGAATGTGACTTAAATTTATAAACCATATATGCCTATCTCTACAACTTTTAATATTATATATAGTATTGATATTTTATGTATTTATGTACAGTCAGCCCTCTATCAGTGGGTTCCATATCCACGGATTCAGCCAACCACAAATGGAAATATTCAGAGGGGAAAAAAACAAAATAACAACAATAAAAATAATACAAATCCAGTCTGGGCAACATGGCAAAACCCTATCTCTACAAAAAATACAAAAAATTCACCAGGCATGGTGGCATGTGCCTGTAGTCCTACTACTTGGGAGGCTGAGGTGGGAGGATGGCTTGAACTGGGGAGGCAGAGGTTGCAGTGAACTGAGATTGTGCCACTGCACTCCAGCCTGGGTGACAGATCAAGACCCTGCCTCAAAAATAATAATACAAATAAGACACACATATTGGGTGCGGTAACTCCTGCCTGTAATCCCAACACTTTGCAAGGCTGAGATGGGAGGATCGCTTGAGACCAACAGTTCAAGACCAGCCTGGACAATATAGCAGCATCCTGTTTCTACAAAAAATTTAAGAATTAGTGGGATGTGGTAGTACAGGCCTGTAGCCCTAGCTACTGGGAAGGCTTAGGTGGGAGGATTGCTTGTGCCCAGGAGTTTGAGGCTGCAGTGAGCTATGATTGTACCACTGCACTCCAGCCTGGGTGACAGAGTGGGACCCTATCTCGCAAATAATTTAAAACCATAACCACTTTGACCAGGCGCAGTGGCTCATGCCTGTAATCCCAGCACTTTGGGAGGCTGAGGTGGGCAGATCACCTGAGGTCGGGAGTTCGAGACCAGCCTGACTAACATGGAGAAACCCCCATCTCTACTAAAAACACAAAATCAGCCACGTGTGGTGGCACATGCCTGTAATTCCAGCTACTAGGGAGGCTGAGGCAGGAGAATCGCTTGAACCCGGGAGGTGGAGGTTGCAGTGAGCCAAGATCGCGCCATTGCACTCCAGCCTGGGTGACAAGAGTGAAACTCTGTCTCAAAAAAAACAAAAACAAAAACCTATAACCACTTTTTACATAGCATGTACACCGTATTAGGTATTATACAATGTGCTAGGTATTATACAATTAGTTTATACAATTAGTTATTATAAGTAGTCTAGAGACGATTTTTAATTTTAATTTTTTTTTTTTTGAGACAGGGTCTCGCTCTGTCACCACAGACTCAACTTCTGGCTGAAGTGATCCTCCACTTCAGCCTCCCCAGAAACTGAGACTACAGGCACATGCCACCATGCCCAACTAATTTTTGTTTTAAGATAATTTAAAGTATAAGGATGACTGTACACTGGTTATATGCAAATACTACGGCATTTTATATAAAAGACTTGAGTATCTGTGAGCCAAATTGGTATCCCTGGGGTTCCTGGAACCAATCCCCCATGGATACAGAGGGAAGACTGTATATATTGTATTAATATTCCTTTGATAATTTATAATTATTTCCACAGCTAATGTGGTATTAGTGCTTTCTCCACCAGTATCTGATATTATTCTCCTAACAGCCAAAGTACAGAAGTGTTATCCCTATTTAACAAGAGATGAAATGTGTTACGATCCCACAGCTAGTTAGTGCAGAGTCAGGATTTGAAATGTCACTTATTTGCTCAACACTCCACTTTTGTTAGTTTCCTGAGCAATATGGAAATATCTTAAAGTCTGAGCTGTATTTGTAGGCTGCCCTGGTCAGAATAAGCATCTACCCTTTTAAGAGAGTGAAAACACTATTCTGAAAAATGTATCAAACTAGCAAAGAAGTATGTACTCTAAGGCCAGGTGCAGTGGCTCACGCCTGTAATCCCAGCACTTTGGGAGGCTAAAGCAGGTGGATCACCTGAAGTCAGGAGTTCAAGACCAGCCTGCCCAACATGGTGAAACACCGTCTCTGCTAAAAATACAAAAATTAGCTGGGCATAGGGGTGGGCACTTGTAATCTCAACTACTAGGGAGGCTGAGGCAGGAGAATCGCTTGAATCTGGGAGGCAGAGTTTGCAGTGAGCCGAAATCACAACACCGCACTCCAGCCTAGGCAACAGAGTGAGACTACATCTCCAGAAAAAAAAAAAAAAAAAAAAAAATCACTGCAACCTCAACCTCCTGGTCTCAAATAATGCATCTAGGGCACACATTTTAAGGGGAATGAAGGTCAGTTCCTGAGCTCTAGTGTGAGAACAGGAAGGGCCTCAGACAGCCATGCATGTCTGACAAACTGCTGGCCAGCCCAATGAGGAGCTCCAGAGCAAAGACTGTCCATTAGAGGAGTCCCACATTAGGCAGAAATGGCTAGGCCCTAGAATACTTGCTGTGCCTAGTCATTGCCTGAGGCTTCCAAGAAAGAACAAGCACCAAAGCTAAGGCAGATTCCAAAGGCCACAGCGGGAGGCTGTCAGGCAACTGCAGTCTTTGCAGCTGACTGAAAAGTTCTTTCTGGAAAGAAGTTACACATCTCAATGATTGCCATTAGGCACATGAAGTGCAAAGGCCCTGAGTTACATGGGACGCCTTTGGATGATTTTTTTTGAGACGGAGTCTCACTCTGGCGCCAGGCCTGGAGTATGGTGGTGTGATCTCAGCTAACTGCAACCTACGACTAGCAGGTTCAAGCGATGAACCCTGCCTCAGCCTCCCGAGTAGCTGGGATTACAGGCGCCCGCCACTATGCCCAGCGGAGTGCAGTGGCGGATTCTCAAGCTCACTGCAAGGCTCGCTCCGGTCACTGCCACTTCTCTTTGCCTCAGTCTCCTGAGGCAGCCTGGATTACAGGCGCTCGGCTACTCTGCCCGGCTAGTTTTTTTTGTACTTTTTAGTAGGACGGGTTTCACCGTGTAGCCAGAGATGGTCTCGATCTGCCTGACCTCGTGATCACGCCATCTCGGCTCACAAAAGTGCGCTGAGATTACCAGGCTTGAGGGCCACCGCGCCCGGCCAAGAATTTAACCTTTCTTTTACATGCTAAATTCAATCTGGAATCAATCCATATTGATTATTCCTTCAAATATATCCAGAATACAATAACCTCTCACCACCTCCATTGCTACCATTCCTGGTCCAGTCACCATCTATCCTCCTAAGTTATTGCAGCAGTTTTTGAACTGGTCTCCTTGCATCTCTGCCCTTGCCCCATACAGTTTATTTCTCAATATAGCAATCAATGGTCCTTTTAAAACCTAAAATCATAGCCTCAGCCAGGTGCAGTGGCTCACGGCCTGTAATTCCAGCACTTTGGGAGGCCCGCGCAGGCGGGTTGCCTGAGGTCAGGAGTTTGAGACCAGCCAGGCCTATATGGTGAAAATCCCTCCCTACCAAAATACAAAAATTAGCTGGCGTGGGTGGCAGGGACCTGTATTCCCAGCTGCGGGAGGGCTGAGGCACAAGAAATGCTTGACCTGGGAGGTGGAGGTTGCAGTGAGCCTAGATGGTGCCACCTGCACTCCAGTCTGGGCAACAGAGCAAGACTCCATCTCAAAAAACAAAACAAAACAAACAAAAACCTAAAATTAGATTATGTCAGTCCTGTATATAAATCTTCCAGGCCGGGGGTGGTGGGCTCACGCTGTAATCCCAGCACTTTGGGAGGCTGAGGCAGACAAATCACGAGGTCAGAAGTTCAGACGAGCCTGGCCAACATGGTGAAACCCTGTCTCTACTAAAAATAAAAAAATCTA